TTCCCGCCGCCCGTGGCCGGCGCGCTCTTGCGGGCCGCCTTGGTGGCCAGCTGCTTGCGGGGCGCCTTCCCGCCCGTCGACTTACGCGCCGTCTGCTTTGTGCGCGCCATCACTAAGAGCCGTTCTGCTGCTGCTAGCTCACACCAAACAAGAGAACAGTGATAAAGGCGACTGACAGCGACTCCCTTTTATATCCGAGCGCTGCTTGTTCATTGGCTGATGGGAAGGGTCGATCTCATTGGGCCAATTTGAAAATCCCGCGTTAACCCCCTCTGTGCTGTGTCGAGCTCTTTAATACTTAAGTCACAGCATTGATCTTAGTATCTTCCGTTTCTTCGGAAACGACTTTTCTTCTTTTTACCGACTTGCCTTTACTAATTACACCTTTGTTAAGTTAACTCTTCTCATACAATCTGTAAAAAGAGTTTGATACCAAAGAAAGATAAAAGTGTAACCTATTTTCTTGGTTTTTTTGAAAGATAATATTTTTTGTTGCTTAATTAGTAAAATCTGAGTTTATAAAAAGTCAATGACTTATATTTAATTTTTCTAGATTATTTAGGGAAGCATTTCTGAAGGGATCGAATGATTTGTTTACAATTCAAAGCTTTGTTTACAATTCAAAATCAAAAATACCATACTAGTGTGCTTTTTAACAACTAAAATCACATGCCTTATCCATAACATACTTTAAACACAAACCCGGTAAGCAGGATTCAGAGCCACAAACAAAGGAGAAAAAAAAAAAAAGGGAGAAAAAGTACTAGAGAAATGAGTCTTTTAAATGTCTTTAGTCTTTCCTGAAGGAAAAAAAAAAAAAAGGCGCTACTTCTCCCTGGAAAGGGCCGGGGCTCGGGGCGCTTTCAGCTACCGCCTTGATTACAGGATGTTCCGAAATAACCAATTAAATTCTTTGCTTTTTCGACCAATCAGAGGCGGGAGGGTGGGGCCGCTACTCAGTATAAATAGGAGTCGCAACATGCATCATTTTTCTCTGTGGCTGAAGGACCGTTCTTACCGATGGCGCGCACAAAGCAGACGGCGCGTAAGTCGACGGGCGGGAAGGCGCCCCGCAAGCAGCTGGCCACCAAGGCGGCCCGCAAGAGCGCGCCGGCCACGGGCGGCGTGAAGAAGCCGCACCGGTACCGGCCCGGCACGGTGGCGCTGCGCGAGATCCGGCGCTACCAGAAGTCGACGGAGCTGCTGATCCGCAAGCTGCCGTTCCAGCGCCTGGTGCGGGAGATCGCGCAGGACTTCAAGACCGACCTGCGCTTCCAGAGCTCGGCCGTGATGGCGCTGCAGGAGGCGAGCGAGGCCTACCTGGTGGGGCTCTTCGAGGACACCAACCTCTGCGCCATCCACGCCAAGCGCGTCACCATCATGCCCAAGGACATCCAGCTGGCCCGGCGCATCCGCGGCGAGCGCGCCTGAGGCTCCTGCTATAGGCACCACCTCCACAATCCTTCATCCCCACATCCTAAAGGCTCTTTTAAGAGCCACCACGTTGCACAAGAGAGCTGTGACACGGTCTTTTTTGATACTTTTACACAAAATTTATTGTCCTGAAGTTATAATAAGGTACTAAGTATTTTGGTCTGTTTTGGAAGTCCTAATACATTTAGTTTGTTTTTATCCCATTCTCCCCAGCTCTGTTCTCAGTTGGCTTCTCTGTATGTGTTTGTCAAGAGGGCTTTGCAATCAGATACCTCCTAAAACCATGTCTGTAAACCTTTGTGAGATGTCATCTCAAAGGGCTTGATTTTATTATGAGTGGTTGCTACATGCTGTTATAGTGAGGGGCTTGGAAGTGTCTAATCAACTGCAGAAAAAGTAACCACAAATGGAACGGGCAGATAAGGTAAATGAAAAATACTTTTCATTTAATGCTCATGGCAAGAGGTATGATCTTAGGAAAAAAAAAAAAAAAGAAAGACTATAATTGTTCCCCCTCTCCAGACTGTATATTTCTAGTAAAGTATTGTATTTTGGAATGGTTTTATGGAGCACTGCAGGGTTTTACTTCCAAGAAATGTGGAAGGCATAACCTGAGTTACTATTAAAAGGTAAGTTTCACACAGCTTTTTATTATAGAAAAAAATATATAAATATACCCTATCATCACTCTTACTATAATATACTCTAAAAATCTTAGTATTGTATTAGATATCTGAGAGCCATACCTTTCTCAAATATGAGATGAATAAAACAAAAAGGCTAAGAAGGTCAGTCTGAAGCAAGGGACAAAAATAGGAAATTCAAAAAATTAATCTGTCATTTATATTCTCAGTTTTCTTTCTTTGCTTTATGTCTTTAAGGAAAGTCGGGAGTAGAGGACAAAGGAGAGCTTGGAAAAGAACAAAGAGAACGCAGTGGATGTTCCTGGGAATTCCCACCTCCCATTTTCCAAATACATGGGGAGTGCTGGCACAGGGGAAAGTTTCATGGCCTTTTTGGGGACTAAACCAGCTGGGGGAAAGGGAGCAGCTGCAGAGCCGGGGTGGCTTCATAACCGATGAGATACCTATAGGAAACACGCTTATGTGGTTTTGGGAATTGAGGACAAATGTACAGTGTTTGATGATAAAAAGGTGGAGTAGGCGGAGGGATACACATGGGGAGAACAGAAGGTCAAAATTTACTAGGATTTAGCTGATTCAATAAAGTTTTGTTGTTGGGAAATTACAGTTGGCCTTTAGCTCTCTTCAATTTTGTGGTTGACTGTGTTGAGGCTTGCAGACTCTTGTTTTAATACTTCAAAGAAGTAATAATTTCTATGCATTCACAAATAAACATTCAGATTTCTTCTGGTTTTGCTTCCGTGTTGTGACAGCATCTTTTTCTCTGCCCTGGGTAACGGGATCTGGCCTGTCCAGTGTGCTTCAGGAGATGTTACCAACCAAATCAGTCTGAAGTTAAAATTCCAGTATTTGACTGTGGCATCTGGGGAATCCTGCAAGAAGTTTCGTAAGGTGTGTTTCAGAAACACCACAGGGGAGGTAAAACATGGCAGGTACAAGAAATAATCAAAGCATAATGATGTAGGGATGAATGTACATACACACACGTATATGTACATGTTCTATATCTATATATACACGTCCTGGTTTGAGGTAAAACAGGACCAATTTCGTTCAGCCGCCGCCGCCATTTCCCCGCGCTCCGACAAAGAGCCCGACCGGGGCGGGCGGGTGGACCTCGGAGTCCGCTGTTGTGGCGATCTGGTCAGTCGATGTTTTCGACTCCGGGGATGTCTCTGCGGGGTCACGTCACCTATGGCGTAGACCTTTGTTGTAGAGCTTTGAGCGTTGATCTTTGGAGCGTTGAGCGGTGCCGGTTGAACGGCTTTATCGTTTCGGGAGGAGATGTGGGGTTTTGCTGAGGGTCTGTGGCCACCGGGGCTCTGCCGGAGCTGCTGCTCTTTGTCCCGGTGGGGCGACCGGTGCAGAAGGCCCTCGGACCTCTCAGGCGTACACACACACCGTTTTACTTTTCCCCTCTGACTTAGCATTTAAATTCACCGGCAATATGTATTTGGGGGTATTTTACCTTTGTTCTCGAAAGATCATCTAATAAATGCAATTCCAAGTATTCACTATGTACCATCTTTTGCTTGTCAGGAGTTTTTCCCTGGTTAGTTGTATCTGCATGCGCTACACAGGTTTTATTTTTTTTTTGTGTTTGTGTGGTCAGGTATTTGTAATTTTGTTTGATCTTCTCCATTTCCCCCTGTTTCCTCATGCATCCCCATTACTACAATGCTTCCCAATTGCGAAAAGCTTTTGTTTGGTAATTTCACAGCTCTTTCCTTTTTTTTCCCTTTGACTTGTCACTTTTTTGTTTTTTTTTTTTTTAATTATTATTATTTCATTGTTTGCCCTTTTTCATCCCTTTTTCTTGAAAGAATTTTCTCTTTCTGTGCTGCTTTGGGAGGGTGTTTTGGGATTATTTTCTTTTCTTTCTCTCTGTAGCCTTCTCGTATGTATGTTATTTAATTCAGCTTATGTTTGGCCACCGTTTTGATAAGTATTTTCATGTGGAGATGGCCAGTTTTGTAGTGTTCATATCACGCTTTATTAATATCACCTGATTTAGTTCTACAGTAGTAGGAAAGACATATTTATCTTCACATATCAACCTTAATGGTGCCGTTGGCACAGCCGCGCCTCAGTTTATATTAGAATCACTCTTGTCTTTGCACACTATTTATCGTTTCACTTAGTGTTGGAGGGGAAAAAAAAGAATTGATGTGCAGCCTTTTTTTCTCATCCATTTACAGATTACAGCATTAATACATTGTGACAGAGAGCTCAGTAAAACTTCTGGATAACTATAAAGTGTATTCTTCCCTGTCTGTTACTTCTCTCAGTATTTAATATCATACACCTTTTCCCTGGTAGTTACTAGTGTGGTTTTCCCTCTATTTGTCAAATTCAAAAGACCCCTTTTGTTTTCTCCAGGACTGCTGGAAGAAGTATTTTTCCCTTCTCATCTGGCACATGTGTTTTTAAGCATGTAATTTTTTGCACATCTTTTCTGGAGCTTTGCTTTCATTTCACCTGATGACTTCAGCTGTGTAGGTGTTCCTATTCTTGTAGATTATCCACTTAAACAATTTAATTCTCTTTATGTGGTTTAGTGGGAATAGGTATTCTGCTTTGCAAGCTGCCCTATTCACCTCCCATTTTGTCAACAAAAAGTTGCTATCTCTTTTAGCATCCATTTCTTGCTGCCTTTCAGTTCACTAGATCTCTTTTTGTGGCATTTGTTGTACAGTTAATATTTTTTCCCCCTGAAATTTACCTTTGCTTATTTTTGCATCATACTTTCTTGATTCTCTCTATATTAGACTTCCTTTAATAGTCAACTTTTCATCCTTATCCAAGATCCATTACGTCTTAAGAGTGACAACGCAGCTGAAGAACCCAAACCACCAAAAATGTAATTTGTTCCTGACCTAAGCAATATCTTAACTTGGAAAAGGGATAAAAACCACAGATGCTCTGAAGAGTGAATTTTTACTATGATTGATTTTACACAGAATCTTTATAGGTATGTACAGGCAATGTATAGCAATGTACAGGCACACATAGATTGCTGTATTACAGTGTGCTTGGGTTATTTGAAGAAATATTATTCTATATTTCATGCTTATATCACGCCCCACTCGGAAGGAGGGGTGGACTAAGGTGAGACAACTCTCAAGGTCCTTACAAAAACATTTATTAGATTCCCACAGTGATTAATTTATATCTTAAACAGGTCCACGATAATTGGTGAGGTATAGAACAAATTGTGGCAAGCGGTAAAACAAATTATGACAAGCGGTAAGGTACGCCTTGTGTTACTTACCAACAGGTATATGACAAATTATGGTAAACTGTATGTAGCAACAGATATGCAGTGAATCACGGTGAGTGGTGAGGTATGCCTTGTGTTACTTAATAACTTTAAAAGAAAAGAGAAAAGAAAGAGAAGAGGGATAGAGAAGAAGAGACAGAGCGAGAGAAATAAAGAGTTCACTGGTCCTGGTTCCAGTCAGTGGAACTGGTCAATGGGGGTCTCTGGTTCGTAGAAGCGCTCCTCTGCGTGAGATCTCCCCGGGGGGGGGGGGAAAAAAAATCCCTCTGTGGTACTTATTTTCCCTTTTTCACCTTATCAGTACAAACCGCCCCACTGTTATTCTACTCCGGTTTCTCCCCATCCCCCGGTGACATGTAGCATGATTTGGGGGGAGAGACAAATGCTATAGTCATATATGTCTAGCATGATCTTCATTAATCTTCATGAACACATATGGGGGTGTCAACTTTAATATGCATTTTATGGATAGTGAGGCAGAGGTCGTCATCAGGCATAGTAACCTTCCAAAGAAACAAACAGCTACACAGATTCTCGTTATCTTGTCTGTACCGACAAAAAGCAGCGCTGTCCTGTTTCCCTCCTCCAGGTTCAGGCGAGTTTCTTTCCCGCCCGAGTAAGCAGGCGTTAGCGTTACCATGTCTTTGAGCAAAAGACCTGCATGATTCCCCCCGTGGCTATAGCTACATTTCAGGGTAGTTGCGAGATGTTTGAAAATTTGAATGTTTGACACATTCCTCGGAAAGGCTCGGAGGGCCTCCTCCCCCTCCCTTTCATCTCTCACCCTTCATTTCAGGGAATTTACAAGTTGTCTCTTACAGATTGTTAAAGTCAAGTTCTGCTTACCCAATTTTAGCTTTTCCACACCAAACAACAACCGGTTTAATTTTCTTGGCTTTATTTTAGTATAGCGTATGTTTGTGGTACCTTTTTAAACTTCTCACTGGCAGCTGTAGGTATAAAGTGACATTGTGTAGATTATTGAAATGTTGGGGGACTCCTGAAAATAGACAAAATTAAACTAAAAGGAGAGGCATACATCCTTTTTACAACAGCTCAAACCTTTCTGTATTCTGGAAAAGAAGGAAGGAGATCTGAGCAATTCGCATTGACTGAGTTCTAGAGTAACACTTCATTTCCTAATATGACCTCTTGGTCTTGTGTTTTATGGCCAGCGTCCATCCATCACTCCTGCTGGTTCATTTACAAGGATTTTGTTACTCGGAACCAACAAGTGAGTATACAACTACCCATTTTTTTTTATTTATTTTTTTAAATTCAGCTTTTCCCATTTTTCAAGACAGTCTGGGGAGGGTGAAAAGTTCAGTTTTCCTCTTCCTGATCAGGCAACATTAGTTGGAAGAGCCTTGAGCTGTCTGCTATGGTATGGGAAGGCAGCCAGGACACACTCCCGGAGCGAAGGAGCAGGTTGGGTGAGGGCAGGAAGGAGCTAGGAAACGACTCTATTCCTCTTCCCACTCTTATGTCACAGAAGATCATAGCGCTCCTCTTCCCTTCTGCATCAGCTTTCAATCTCCCATCCCACTATTCCTGCTAATGCTCCTGGCCTTCCCAAAAGACAACCATCCCCTTGAGGAGACTGAATTTCAAAATCTGTTTTCTTTTCGATGATCTACTTTACTTTGGGCTTTTTAGGAAAACTTTTTAGTTATTTGAAGGAGCTGCTGATCTCTCAGTAGATCTGCCAGAACATGCAATTTCAGTTCAACAGGAGAATTGATATAAACTTAGAAAGTCTCCATGGTGTTGTTTTTTTTTTTTAAACTAACCAAAAATATTCTGATAGAAAAGTTGCAATTTGTCAAGATTTGCTTCACCTGCTAAAGCAGAAGCTTGTGATAAATGTGCTATTTTAATCGTGTGAGAAATTTATGAGGAAAAGGAACAAAACTGCATCACATTCTAAGGGAAATGTAAGTGTTCTCAGAGCATAATCACAGGAAATGCAAAGTCCAGGGAAATATGGAGATGGGTTTTTGCCTGGAGTGACAATCAATGTGATGAAAATATCACAGTAGTTGTCTAACTCCATGAAAACAAACTATTTTTGTAAGTTGCATTGCAAATATGGTAATTAAAGCACAAGAAAAATGAATGTTCTGTGCATCCTACTTGTATGGGGTCTCCAAGCTGCCAATCTCTGCCCAGGCCATCAACCTACAGCTCTGTCCAGACCATCTCTTGGGAAAGTGAAGACAAGGCCATCAGAATGACTGGTGGTTATTCCCTGTCTATAAAGAAGAGTACCACATTTTGCTCCCGACAGCCCAATACGCCCCTAAATTACTGCTGGATTCTCTGAGTTGTGGTCAGCTTAGCCCTAGCTTTCATTCTCGTTCACCTGGACTAACCTGATGGATCTGTCACCTTGACTGACTGTTCCCCACGGGTCTGTCTGCCTCAGGACACAGCAGGGTTTCTTCTTGGGTGGGCATTTGCCTTTGGGCTCTACTTGCAACTGGGGGCTGAAGGTCACCACTTGGGCGTTCTGACCTGCTTTCCCCTCCAGGTAGAAGCTGGAAATCTTTGTGCAGTGTGGATCGTGGCAGCTCCCACCCAAGGAACAACAGAGTCCTTCTCTGACAAAGCTTTATAAACCTCACTAAAATCATACAGGTATTTATTAATTACTGATGCTTAAAAGTGTTACCTTTTCATGCATCGGTGTGGTCATGCAGTAACCCTTGCTGATTATCCCCAAACTTGCGGAGATGGACAAGGGATAGCTCAGGCTGAAAGCAAAGACAAAAGCACATAGGAGAAAGTTACAAAGGTCATTGCAAGGTAATGACCTATTTTTCCTCCTTTTTTTCAATATATAGTAATTTAATACTAATCTTACTGGTATTACCTTGATAATGATTATCCTATGCTGTTGCTGTGTCTTATACTGCCTTTTTGCACCTCCAGTGTGATATATGTGCATGCATACACACAAACACATCCACACATCTAGTGTGACTTTTTCTGTTGAAATCCCTCCCACCTAAAAAAACCCAAACATTAGAGCTGCTCTGATATGGCCAAGAGGTCCCTCAGCGGTTAGCAGTTTGTGCACAAACAGGATTAGCAGCTGACAGGGACTTCACCGCCTATAGAGACACATGGACTTGGATCATGCTGGATGGTGGCAAATCAAACCATGCTTTTGATTATAAACAAGATCTCCATTTGCCTGACCAGCAATGATGTTCTTGCCATGATCTTTATGGCATACACATCCTGGATTCTCCAAGCTTTAGGCACTTTGGATGTCATTAAATGAAAATAAACTTCAGCTTTGTCATTTATTCGCTTTCTTTTGACCACAGCTTACAGTTTCACTGCCTGTGCTCTTGCCCCTGATTCCTGACTCAGTATTTAGAACTGTCTCACCACCATCTCCCACCTTCACTGAAACCTCCCAAGTTGATTCTAATAAAAAAAAAAAGTATTCCCACAACAGAAAACAATATATAACTAAATAGTTTGTTCAACGGTCAGAAGTACCAACATGAAAATAATTTGAATGTCAGGAATCACCAGAAGACAAACAGAACAAAACAGAGGATGTTGTATCTTTGTAGCATTGTGTGAAATAGTTGCAGCTTGAGTAGTGTGCACATTTCTGGCCTCTAAATAAAAATAATAATAAAAAAAAAAGATGTAGTACAACTGGAAAAGAAAGTTCTAAGAAGACTGATAAAGATGATTAAAGGTTCAAAATGGCTTCCCTACTAAGTATACTAGGACACCATCAGAACAGAGACAACTACTGAGTGAAGAAGCTCTTATTTATCTTAACTATCCATAAGGCCAGTGGCTAAATCTATCAAATTTAGTGAGGCCCAATCTAATCATAAAGTTAGTTCCCAACCAAAAAGGTACTGAGGCCAGAAGAGCTGCCTAAATATCACAGGTGCTTTCCTTAAGTAAATGGACTCCTTATCTCGATACCTTTTTTCAAAATGATAGAGAAAAACAAAAGATGAGCGAAAAGCTGAGGAAACAACCATCTCCTCTATAGAAATTTATTCTGCAGAGCACAGCTGCTTGCATAACTGTGAGCACTTCCTAACTCTGGTGTTAAATAGTTCTCATCTCTTAAAAACTTCTATACTGATCCCTGGTGGTATCAACTGCCATTCAATTACATTCATTTGTTTAGGATCAGTTTTGTTTTTCTCATAACTTCAAAAAAAAAAATCACACAGTCCCCGAAACAAACAAATCCCCCACCAAAAACTCCTATTCACTTAACTTTTTTTTTTCCCCCAGGGATTCCAATTTACGTAGTGTATCAGGTTGTATAGATATTTCCATGATTCTCTCATCTGGGGAGTCAACAGAGGAAGTTCCACAGCAGAAAAAAAGCTGCAGCATCTGTAGGAAGAGTGGAGGACTCGGTTTCTATTTGAAATCCCTCTCCGCATGTCAAGAGCAATACGGTTCATATGCGGAGTTCAGAGGCTTGAAATAATCAAATTCTTAAAGAGGTGATATATAGAAATACCACCTGCAGAGGAGAAAGGTTTGTCCACATCAGCCTGGTTAATAAGGTAGGGCTGTTTCTGTACCCTACACATGCAGTCATGCATCAAGTTTTCTAGGACAAAACGAACAAGGGGGGAAATGCTCTAACGATCTCGGGCTCCTTACAGAAGAGTTTTACCGAGCAGGATGGTGTGTTGCATTCTCAGCAGCAAAGTTTGCAGAATCAAAATGACATTTTCTAACAAAGCAAGCTGTCGCCCCAACTGCTCCTTGTTTGGTGTGGGGTTGGTTGGGTTTGGATGGTCGGGTTTTTTTGTTGTTATTTTTGTGGTGTTTTTTTCCCCTCTAGGCAGCAGCCGCAGTAAAAACAAGCAGAATTGAAATAAACCCAGCAGACGATGCAAGAAAAGCTGGAAGTGTTCCAAACGCAGGTTGGTTTGATGAGCAGCAGGGGAGGGGGGTGCCCACCACCTCACGGCGGTGTCACCCGCCGGGTTTCACCTTCCGCGCCTGCGGATTAACCAAATGGTAACGGCCCGGGAAAGAGAGGGGAAGGAGTCGGTGGAGAAGGGAACAGGAGGGAGAGAAAGAGGAAGGGAGGGTGACGAAAAGGAGGAGGAGGAGAAGGAGGAGGAGAAGCTCCTTCCCAGGCTGGATTGGTCAGAAATTGCTGCAGCGGGGGTGCAGCGGTGCCCGGGGCCGCCCCTCCCCGGCAGCTGCGGCCGAGCCTGGAACGGTTCAGTCTTGGGGGGCATCCCCCAAAGCCATCGACATCCCTGCCCCAAACTCATCGCCCTCCGCCGTTACTCAGCTGTACCCCAGGAATACATCATCTCTGAAGATGCAAAGAGAAGGACACACAAGGACTTAGCTATGATTTACAGCATTCTGCTTCTCTGTTCATATTAAACACACTCAGAGCATATATTCTTACCTGCAAATGAAGGTCTCTGCTGCGTTTCTACCGCTATAGTGCAATTGGCTTTCAGACTTCACTTCTGTCATTCAAATTTCCCGAATATCAACATTAGTGCCCCTGAAATTGTGTGAATGGAGACATGCAAGTTTCTTTCATGTTTAACCAATATCTAAATCAATCCTTGTAAGGTATACCTGAGAGAAATAAACAATGTCAATAACTTTTTTTTTTAAAAAAAAACAACCCTTTATTTGGTATCTAAACAAGCCTGTTTTCAAGGGAATACATAAAGTAAATTATTGAATATACTATTAAAAAGGTTTCTATATATTACACTAGATTTGTAAGTTATTCCTACTTGATCACATTTTGGTTTGCTATGTATGATTGTAGAAAGATACTAAAGGAACTAAATATTTGAGTAAAGGTGTTGGAGAATAATTTATGAATAGACTCGTAAATGTTTAACCTTTGTGCAGACTGTGTCACATAAATGCTCAAATCACTTTTACAAATAACAGCCTACAGTTTCATGGATATACCTGCAGTAGGAAGCAAATAATCCCATTCACTTTTGTAGGCAAATGCTCTAAGTTGCCTACATTTTTGTAAATATAGTAGCTTAAAGCAACTTCTCCTCCTGAAAGATTGGGGGGGGGGGGGGAAGGGTGTGTTTAAAAAAAATAAAAAAATAAAAATCACACCGTTCTCTGCAGAAAACTGCTTAGTACCAAGGGAATCTGGACAAGGACTTAATGCTGTCCACACAGGTTGTTACAGAGCAAACAAGCAGAGTCTTTTTTAAGAAAAACATGAGTAAGACTTTGAAGGAAAAGAACGTTTAAGGACTTTTCCCATATGCTATTATCACTATGAAAAAGTCAACCAAAATGTCTATGTTCTATTATCAATTCATTCTGTTTTACTTCTCTGTCTGCATACTTGGGAATGTTTTTGCAACTGAGCATGAGTTTTTTTTGTGTGGAGCTTTGGTTTGGGGTTTTTTTTGTTTGTTTGGGTTTGTCATTTTTTTGTTTGGCTGTTTTTTTTAATACATTACCTTGAATATTAACTTTAGCACTTTATGGCAAAACAGAGAACTACGAAGTAACTACAGACTGAATAACATTCTTTGAGGCCAAGCTATCTGGGAGATTGTACTACCTATGCCATAGCTAGTACTTTAAAGCCTAAGTGTGGTCTTAAAGGTCAAAAGTAGTCTAGGTCACCTCTGACACTAAGTTTTTTTTCATGACCACCAGTGTGGCGCGCTGTTCTTAAATCTAAACCCTTCCTCCTCTGTTCAAGAATTTAGGCTGAACATTTGGGAAAAAAAAAATTGAAGGATACAGCCTAATTAGAAATTTGGCCTCTGAACTGAAATAAAATACTTGTTCTTAAAGTGTTGTCTTATAGCTAAAATTTTAGCCAGTTCTGTTAGCATTAAAATTAGCTAGACATGTTAACCATTGGCATCAGCTGAACTTTTGATATAGGGTCTTACATACGAGCATTTTATCATAGACTTGACCAGATGGTTGGCCTTGGGGATGTTTTGCTTTACAAATGTGGGGGATGTTTAGTTGAGGAACTTCTAAGACTCATGATAATGAGGATTCTATCCTTGAATCCATAGTGAAAGAATTCCTAATCAAGGAAAGCCAGTATTGTTATCATTCTTGAAATGAAACATCCTGGAGCATCCATGCATACAGACCCTGAAACTGCTACTAAGTTACATGTTTTGAAACTTGGCAGAAAAGCGAAAATTCTGAGTGTCCTAAACCAAACTACCTTCATTATAATACTAAAAGTCACCCCCACAGGTCAAGAAGACCCTGGCCCAGGTGAAGACCTTCCCCCGAGCTATAACTCCACTGTGCAATCATAAGTACATTCCTAACTAATCAAATAGAGATAGGAGGTACTAATACACTAATGATATTGTAAAATGTGTATGTAAACCACACATAATGTCCTGTTTGGTGTGCATGATTTGTGCAAATATTCCACCCTACACCCTGACCAGAATAAAGCAATGTCTCATCTCTAAGCATAGTCTCTGTGTTTCGGGAGAATCGTAGAACGGTTTGGGTTGGAAAGGACCTTGAAGATCATCGAGTTCCAACGTCCCTGCTCTGACCAGACCAGGTTGCCCAAGGCCACGTCCAGCCTGGCCTTGAACACCTCCAGGGATGGGGCCTCAACAGCCTCTCTGGGCAACCTGTTCCAGTGCCTTACCACCCTCAAAGTGGAATCAGAACTTTGACTTTTTTACAGGTAACAAAAGAAAACTTTAAGTCTCATCTGTCACTTAAGTTAATATGTGTTATACTCCACTTTTATTTTAACGTATATAAGAGTGTTATTTAACTATGGTATGCTGACAACATGTTCATTTGTAACATAGTGACATGACGTAGAAGAATATTGCCATTCTACATTAAACGTGGATGGCTGGTCAGGAGAAACAAGGAAAAAGAACTATATGCAGCAACTGCAGGAAAATATTCCAGTCATATTTTAGCTGAAGAAAAAGAAGATTTTTAATACAGAACTCATCAGTTTGCCTGTACTAATAAAAACATGCCAAAAACCATTGTGATAATACTGTTGATGGCAAACAGAACATTAGTCAAAGTGCTATGAAAGGAAACCAAGTTTTTTATATGCACCATCTCAAGGAGGAAACATGGCTAGAAAGGCAGAGAACAAAATGGTAAATTTATTGAATTACTGAGTGTAACTACTTTGTAGTGAAGAAAATAATAGAAAAAATACTTTAGACTAGTTTCAGTCTACCCCTATCTCATTTGAACAGAAAATACTAGAATCCTTGTGTTTTCAAGTGATTTTTCAAACATCACTGGGAGGAAAAAAAACAAAACAAAACAAAAAAAACAAAAACACCAAAATAACTTCTTCCTTAATTTCCAAGAGAAGCAGAACAGAGATACATCCTTCTCAGGCAGTTCTGTGTGAGTATTCCTCTTGAAAAAAAGAGAAATCCTCCCTCCTCATGGAGTGTTTTGCAGGGCAAAAATGAAACCCGGGAGGCCTCTGTTTCAAAACAAGGGATTTTGAAATAGCCCAATCAGGACCTTCTGCAAATCAGTGCTGTGCTTCAGACCTACGCAATCTCTTCCCCCTATAGTAAACGTCCACCAGTCGAAGGTTATTTTTCTTAATATACTGCATAAAAGAAACTGAGATTATTAAAAAAAAATCCTCAAGTGTTTACACCAGTTCCAGCCTTAAAATTCAGCATGGCTACTAATAAAGTCCTGCGGTTAATATGGTTCAAAATCCAACTCTAAATGGTAAGATGATTAATACCTAGTGCCATTTCTTTCAACGAGATGGAGCTGATAAAATAATAATAAAGTCCTCTGCCTGTTCCCGGGGGACGGACGGGGACGACGACAAAAGCCCCATAAACAGCACAATACTAAAAAACCGCCACCCCCCCCAAAACCCCACCAACTTGAAAATTGTGTAAGAAACGAGTACCGTTTAAAACAAGCCCCGCGATTCTCATCTTGTTTCCAAGCAACACTGCAGCCGGGCACTTCTCTGTCACCTCCCTCTGCTCGAAAAACATTTTCCATTAACACATTGCCACAATGACTCACTCCTCTGCCTCTTGAGGGAGGGCGCTGCAAAAAAAAAAGCAGCCGTTTGCCTCGCCTTATTTCTTAAAGGCCCCTTTTGAAGAACAAAGAACACACAGGGACACCCCCCCAGCCCTCGTGGCAGCCTCAATCGGAGGCTCCCAGCGGTACATTCTTGGCTGCCCTTGGGCCAGTTTTGTTTTCTTCCGCTTAAAACGTGAAAAGGAAAGAAAACCTTGTTTTATTTATATGTGCCTAACAACGGATGGAGTGCAGCATCACAGTGAAAGAAAATAAAAAAAAATTAAAAATTATTCATTCTGTTCCGAGGGAGCACAGAACAGAGAGGAACCTTCACTGCCTTCCAGCGAGACAGACTCCCCGAGGCATCAAAGCCAGAGAGGCTTCTCCCGATAAATAATTGGCCTCTCACTGATTATCTTGATTTATGTTCCCCGGACACCCCCCACCCCTTTTTGAAAGCTATCTCTGACCATGTCCGACACTACCCATCGCTCCGGCCCCCACCTCCAAGGAGCCGAAAGTAGCGGCGAGCGACCCCAAAACCCGCGGACCGCAGTCACGGAGCTGATTACCGTGACCGAGGAGGCCGTGGAGACCACTTAGCCCAAAGAACTCTCACGCTCAAAAAGGCAAAGGCAGTGGTGAAGAGCCCTTAGAACCCGGCAGCCATCCGCAGCCAAGAGCCCTAAAAAGGTGGCAACGAAAGGCACTACCAAGCCGAAAAAGGCAGCACCCAGGGGAAAATACCGTAAAAGGAAAGGAAACTTTTGCAGATAAACCCTACAGCGCTCTTAAACGTCACACACGGTATCAGAAAGAACTGAAACACCAGTTCGAGTCCAGACTGGTACGCGATGATCCTCTGCCGCACGTATATGTGACTGTCCACAGTGCTTCTGTAGGAACTCAGATGCTGTGGAACAGTACATTTTAACTTATTTTGTTTTAAACCGTGATCCTCCATGACGATTTCCACCACCAGCACTGCCGCCGCCCCCATCACTTACTCAGAATAGCTGAGGCTGTCCTTTGGAAACGATCCTGGCTTAAACACGGGACAGCACACCAGCGAAATATTTATAATTTTATCCCTATTGCCTGCGAGAAGTAAATCGCAAACAAACAAACAAGCCTCAGGAGGA